ACTCGTCTTAAGCATTTCTGTTGTAGACATGTTAGCCTCACTTTCATATTTTCTTAATTGCAGTAACGAGTAGATCCAAGGGAGGGCCACAATGATAAGGAAGCCAAAGAGTAGTGGATCACACACTGAGCAAACAAAAATATGTATTATTCCTTGCTTTGGAAGTACATACATTTTAAAATTTCTGTTTGGATGTTGATGTGTCAGATATTTCAAGAAGCCATAATGCCACCTGCTTCTCAAGACTGCCCTGTTTTCTATTCCTTGTTGTGTGTTGATGACATTATCTTTCAGATCTTTACCTGTTGTGAAATAAACAGATCATTCCAAGTTTGCAAAACCTGTGACTCCTACCTGGCCTGGTAATTTGTGAAATTTAAAAAAATGTTATCCAAGGATAAATGTTAAATAATTAAATGGTTTCATTAAAAAGGTAGTATAGTATAGTGGTAAAAGCAGTTACGACAATGCCTTTTTAATAATAGGTAGGAACTCAACTCTATTACTCTTTAGCTGTGTGGCTTTGAGAAAGCTATTTAATCTCTGGTGTCAATTTCATTGTCTGCGAAATAGGAATAAAGATAATAACAGCACCTCTTCATAAGGCTGACATGAAAATTTAATGAGTTAATATTTGTAGAGCACTTAGAACAGTTATTAGAATATAAGTGCTGTGTAAATGTTTGCTGAATAAATAAATGCGAATTTTAAAAATTGTAGAGGATTTTAGAGCCAGGTTGACTTGAGTTTGAACACCAATACTACAGTTACATGATAATGCCTAATAATCAAGATTAAAACAGATACTCTTTACAGTGCTAGAACAATGCCTGGCACAAAGTAGATATTCAATAAATATTATATCATATTCTTACTAACAGTTGAGTCTATTTTGGACTTTGTTTAGAATTTCTTGAACTGTTAGCTATTTTCAGAATAAAAATGAATTCAATAATGATATTATCCACCACAAAGGTAAATAACAATACTTGAACTTTGAACTTAGCTAATCTTTCATGTGGATAACTAAGGATTGATCTGGTTGTCATTATTATATTGGTGTTTTTGTATGAAATGTCGTCTACCTGACATTTGAATCATATTTGATATATTGCATAAAATGTCTACTGAGCCTTGTAACAGCTTCTTAAATCCAAGAATAGGTCAGGGACTGTATAGTACTTCCTTTAAGGTGCTCATTTTTGCATTTCAATTGCAGATGTCTGGAAGGTTATACGATGGACAAAGATATAGATACATTCACCTGTCAGAAAGATGGCCATTGGTTCCCTGAGAGAATCTCCTGTAGTCCTAAAAAATGTCCTCTTCCAGGAAACATAACACATATACTTGTTCATGGGGATGATTTCAGTGTGAATAAGCAAGTTTCTTTGTCATGTGCAGAAGGTTATACCTATGAGGGAGTTAACATATCAACATGTCAGGTAAGATTGTCTTAATTAGAAGGTGTAACTCCTATATATGTGTGTGTATGTGTATATATATA